ATATATGATGACTCATATTATACCTCACATTTGCCCTTGATTCTTGATTCAAACAAATAGTTCCATCATTCTACCGATCAGAGAATCAAAGCAAATCCAACGAGTGTAATAAGAGATGGAGTTTCAAATTTTAGGGAAGCTGTCCACTATCAGGTCTATGAATTCTGTTGGCTTTAATTCTCAGATGGAAAAGCTTTCTTATTTGACACGGTGGGAAGAATTTTACGGAGTTTTTTACATTTTCTCAGATAATATCTAGTACCCGCATTAGTTGCCAGTGTCGGTAACGAAGGTCGTCTATTTTAAATAAAACTGTTGCCATGTTTTTCGTTTGAGCGTCCTAAGCATGAATCAAGAAATTATTCATTTAAGTTTTATAAACATACTGTTATCTTCTAAAGGTTCTGTTCAGAAGGAAGACGATATGATGCACAATGCCAGCCTCCGTCAATCTTCATTTTCTCTCGTAGCACGAACGAAGCTCACTTTTGCTCCTTTCAACCCTGATGTCACACGTTCGACCTCATTTTACTGTTACCCATTGCGGTTTGAAGCCGCTGCTACGGCTTCATAATGCGAACTTGTCCAAACGGTTGCGATTTCTTCTCAGAGTTAGCCAGATGGACAATTAGGTAATCACTGTAGGTTGTACGCTATTTTTACGGTATGGCTGCTATCGATTCTGCTATGAAAATAAAGCACTCTTGACTGGTGGCATGGAAATAGATATCATCACCCGGCCATTAATTTTATTTAGTTTATAACAAAGAATCATCTCACAAATGGATCACAATCATCAGAGTGTTAAGTTGACATACCTTCCAACAGTGAAAAATTTCCTTTTGTTTTAGCTTATGTAATGTAGGGCGGGAGTAGTGCTGCATGCATATACTGCACTTGATGAAATGATGGTCTCTAAGAGATTTTGCCTAACGTTTTCCTACTCCGTAGGACATTCAGATCATATTTTATTATGAAGACTCATGATTACTCAAATGGCCTCACTGTATATGCAAAATAATTGCTTCAATAGCAATATTTTGTTACATTGTGACTGACCAGTATCGCATCATCTAATGTTTTGTTAAACGTGCTGCTGGTTTTAGGCTCAGCGAATTCAACGTCGTCCCGATATACAGCCATATCGTTCGCATGTACGAAAGCAACCCGAAACATGGTTCGTTTGTTGCTATTCTATATACGACGATCAACAGAACGTGAGTGACCGAATTCGATTTAGTTGTTAAAGAAGCGTTCGCTGAAATCGTCTTCCAGTGCGTTGTCAGAACCAGTCTAACGCCGCCGCGACTGTGTCTCGTCCAGTGCCTACTCGTTGCTCTGCTGCATTCGAACTGTTCAGCAGAAATCAGTGAGTGCCATATTTGACGTATATTTAAATGTTTACTAAATATGACAGCATTTTTGATTCTGGGTCAGTTGACAGTCAGACCTAAGATCGATGTCCTGTTTATGCCAGTGACAATCGAATCATTGCAACTCTTTGTTAAGTGTATGTCTTATTTATGTATACCATGTGTTTTTGTGTTATATGTTGTGTATTTGTAATATAAATAAATCTTAGACTATCATTTAGCTTAATTCTGTTACAATATTGGGAGTCCGCGTTTCAAACGATTATTTTGTAGGTTCTTTCTTCGTTGAATATCTCGTCCACAAAGTAAAAGATCTGCAACATGATAAATCTGGTGTCGCACTGGACGATTCGTCCATCAACAACGTTTACATGCTGTTCGCATATCTTTATGCTCTTAAGGTAATCGCTTGTCGAAATGTCTCTACTTTTCTTTACTGACTAATACTGAAATGCTTCTGTTGGCTCATATGGCTCCATTTAAGCAAGGCACCTCCGTGTAGTTGTAATGCCGTTTTACTGTAATACTATTCGACCGTGCCTGTTTAAAGGGTTTGATAAACAAGGTGCAGTGCGATTAATAAACTGAACAGAGTGAACTGAAGAGTATTCAGTATTCATTGTGAAAGTAAATTTTATGCTAAACTCTCACTCTTGCTATTTAGTAGCAATAAAACCGTCTCAGTGAGTAGGGAAAGCCAACGGGTGCTTGGAACTACCTGTTCCACCCAACAAATGCTGCGATTGTACATTTGTATATTGCTGGGGCTGTGACTCCAGAAAATCGCAAGCTTCTCGGGGGAGGGTGGGGTAGGAATTATTTTTAAGCCAGCATTTGTATAATTGTGCCGGACGATAAATCTGGGGAATGGCGCAGTTTCATAATTATGCGTGTTATACAGATTCTGCAGTTTTAAGGTTTTCAGTTTTTAGGTGATATGCAGCGAGCTGTTCATCGATCTGCTGAAACAGTTGGCCAGCTCCTTTTCAGATAAAGACGCGCAATTGCTAGTGCTCTGCTTTCAAAGTATGTTTTTTTTATTTCTTGTGTCTTACCCAGAGCCTGTCCTGTCTTAGTATGCGTTATGTATTATAACCGCAGCTACAAACGTTTTTGTCTCAAAATCTGAAATGTCACTGGATTTTTATTCCGTGTCAGTCTGACAATCAGTCAGTCAGCCAGTCAGTTTCGATGACTCATTTTTCTTTTGTCACGAATGCAGACGCGTCAGACAGCTTTTCCAACATTCTCCGTCTTATGCCAGCGTTGGAGTTTCAGCAGAAATAACTCGATTCTACGCCATGGTCCTTCGGTGCATTTGTCCCAAGTTATTCTTGACCGTCCTCAGAGTCTACGACCCGTCGGTTGGGCAGGAAGTAGCTGTTTCACCTTCCTTTATTGAAGGTCATTCGAAGAACATGTCCAGACCATCGCAGCTATTACGTCGCAGTCGGCTGTGCGCCAGTGCTTTCTCAGATATCTGAATTCCGATCTATTTCGAGAAACGAGAACCCCGCGGTTGGTCTCAGAAAGCCTAATTTGGTCACCTGTGCTTGAGATCGAAGTTTTTCGGTTATAGTCCACAACTTATGACCGTACGTGAGCATGGAGATGAAGACTGATGTGAAAATTGATTGATTAGTGTTCAGACTCAGCTCATATTCCGAGCTTACCGCTAACATTCAGATCCCAAATCAACGTTGCGGAGCCAGCTGATGCATGTCCAAACGTATGACCCGAAATCTCAGCAGTGCTGGATTTACACTTACCCTGTGAGTTAAATCTTTGTTACATAGGAGAACCCTGAAGCACCATAGAAGAGAGAAAGAAAACACCTTAATAGTCTGTCTAAATGGCGCAATGCCGTCCTGCATCAGAATAGTCAAACACAGAAAGTTAAAGGGCGAAGAAAAAGGAAAGATGCACAGGTGGTACAGCAAGAATGTGAACAGAACTCAGCGGATGTGCAGCATGCACTGCATGAAGGGAATACACTGAAAGCAGAATATTCTGAAAGTGGAAGATAAAAGAAGTGTTGGTAATACAATGAAACCAATGCATGAATAAAGACGTCCGCATGGGATTAAGTTCCCACTGTAACGAATTTATCAAGCAACTTCCAGAATGTAAACTGTGAAGTTTGTACCTAAATACACAGACAATTACGGTACCATCGTGTCTGTAATATGTCGCTTCCTGAAGACGAGTCGAACAAGATCCGAAGCATTGGAGAACTTGCATATAATAACTTTTATATTTGGAGTAATCCCGTAATGTAACTGTGAAGTGTTAAACTAAGTTCCCGCATTAAAGAATCCATCTTCGTGTTTACTAGTTTCGTATGTATATGTTGCGATCTGGGATGGTGATAGTTCGTTCATACTGGTTCAGTCCAAGCGTCTAATATTATGATTTTATTGGATTATTACTAAGCATTCACTTATACCTAACCTCCGCATTGCTACGTGCATATTTAATTTTATGCCGTGGACTTGATTCAGGATGAAACCAAGATTACCAGTCTGAACTAAAACTTAGATTAGTTTTATTCATACTGGCATAAACGTTATATCACTCTTGGCCATAGCATATATGTTATGCGAATTTATGCTGTCGTTTAGCAAGAGATGATGACGAGCAACGTTCGAAATATCAAGGTTTTTGGCCGTCGATAACCTCTGGAGTGGTGTCATTTGTCTGATTTTTAAGACCGCAGGCACATCGTTCCCTGGGCTTCATCTTCCAGTACCAAATTTAATGACCATACTCCACTGTCTGTTTGGGATTCGGTGATTCACGGTTCAGTACAGACTATTTACGGCAAGCTAGGTCCATGCCTGAAGTTTACTTTGTGGAGTAGAGGATTAGCTATTTGCAAGAGCCGTGTTTTCCGTTTTGCTCGCCACCTTTCGGTTGAGATTTTTGCTGAAGTCATCGCCCGTTTCTATGAACACTTAAACGTAGGATCTGATTCACATGCATAGTGAATCTACAACAACTAAAATTTCTCATCTCTGGTTGTGCGAAGATACTTCTTTAGTTAGTCTTTTGGATACGTTTATTCTTTTGTGTTTACTGTAGTCTCTATTCTCTTACTTTCTTCCCGGCAAGGCTTAGTGCCATTTGCGGTCTCTGTTGTAATCATGAAGCCTCTGCGTGCACTTTACAATATTTACAAACGAAGTCCTCTTAGAATTCTTTTCGGGGAGGGAGGTTGTAACGGAGCTGTTCAATAGCCGAGGGACTTACTGAAGAGTATGTTACTTCATATTACACATAAGAACTAAGGCAATTTCTTCCAGATGCTTGATACAAGTGAATAACTAGACATTGTTCTCAACGTCTTCAACTTTTCCTTTCGCCTCTGAAAACAATATCGTCAATCATTGAAAGTTACGTTCATGTAAACAAGGAGTATCTGTTAACCTTTTCTTTCAGATGGCGTGCTTTACACCTCCTAACTTATTAACCTTCTATCTTACTCTTTCTTATCGTCATCAACACGTTCATCACCATCATCACTCACATCATCATTATCACCATCGTGATAGTCGTTGTCATGTTTATCTCGTCTAGTTATTGTTACCATCATCATCGTCCAAGTGTCGATGGATGACGACGATTGCCTGTCGGGGTGCTTTCTGATGCCACAGCATTCACGAAGGCATTCTAATGAGTAAATCTCTGTGTTGTGCGATAGGCTGAACCAGTCTTGGTGGATAGCGAACCGTTCATGGTTTGAACGTAGATCAGCGGAATACAGGGTGCCAGATTGAGGTTCTTAGACGTAGGCGATTATTTGTAGTCATTTAATTTAATGATCTATTTGGCTTTCATCCTGTTACTGTTTTCATGAATACTTTTAGGCGTGGGATATCTGCTACGAAAAGAGAAATCCATGGATTACGTAAGCCTTGTGAGCCTTATTCAGGAGCGCAGCAACTCTGTCTCATCTAACAGCCAGTGTGAAGCTATGCTGGCAGTAAAATTGTTAATGCAAAATTTATAGAACTTTCCTGAAGGCGATGGCTTCAGATTTGGTGGCAATCTGTGGTAGGAAAGGATCGAAAGTGCACAACTGCGATCCGTCCCTCGTCGAAGAGTTTTTGCGTTTGTTGCGCGGCAATTTACATGGTACGCGTGGCATACTGTTTACTTGAGTTGTAAAGACGAAGCTTTCAGACAAAAGAGCCGAACCTCCGCTGCCGTTCCGCTTGGAAGACGTTGTTCAAGCCCCGGTGAAAGGCAGGTGGTGGATTGTAGGATCGTCGTTCGAAAACCGGGTCAGTGCTTCTCGCAGCGAGGATGGGGTTGCTTCATCGTCGTCAGTGAATGACCACAATTCTACTGGCTACGGCAAAGAATTGCTGCAACTGGCGAAGGCGAATCATATGAACAGCGATCTACGCCGTAACATCTTCTGTACCATCATGTCGGCAGAGGTAGGTTTGGTAGTGGAAAACATTTGTGCTGTCGATGCTTCCTCTTCGTGAACTATGGTCTCTGTTGCTTATATTTAGGACTACATCGACGCGTTTGAAAAGCTGCTGAAAATTGTCCTTAACAACCAGCAGGAACGTGAGATCGTTTACATCCTCGTCGTGTGCTGCATCAACGAACAACCGTACAATCCGTTCTACGGTTACGTGTTGGGAAAACTGTGCCAACACGCCAAGCGATTTACTGTAAGCGTACCAAAGCTCTTTCGTTTGTTATCCTGCCCTTTCTAACGTCTGTTTCAGTTGACGACGCAGTTCGCCGTTTGGGATAAACTGAAGGTGCTAAACTCTTTGCAAAAGTTTCAACGACGAAATCTGGCTTTACTTATGAAGCAGCTAATAGTCACTTCAGTGGTTTCGCTTAAGATTCTAAAGGTGTGGATGACGTAACATAATTCGTTTTGTTTGTGATGTTCAGTGATCCATTCATCCGTCGGTCCATGTAACCGTCTATTTTAAAATTTTATTTTTCAGTTATTACAGTGACAGCTTTTCATGGTTTCCGACCGGCGGTTAGGCTCTCTGTCTTGGATTTGAAGGCACGACAGTTCAAAGTCTCCGCATAATCGATGCATCTGGTTTTCGATCTGGTTCTGTGACCATTTTTCATGTCTTTTCGCCAAGACAGTCCACCTTGCGCTCTTTTATTCTGAGATTCTAATCACACGAACAATGAGTGTTCGCTGTTTAGTAAATTTTCCAGTCACCGAACACAATACCTTCACGATTTTAGCACAACAATAGGCTTATCACTCATGATCCGTTCAAAAATTGTCACAACTATGAATGGAATTTCCTGTACTCATTAATGGAAATAGTGTTTAACGGTAGAATATCGATTTTCCGTATATTTACGTAATAAAACCACTCTGACTCCCTCTTTTCATGAAGTTAATGGCTGGAGAGCTGATCTCCATTTCTGTGCCATCAGCCACGAGTGTCCAATTTTAAAGGCAGGTAAATGGCAAACATGGCGCGTATTCTCCTGTTTCTTTCGGGCAGAGTGCTACCAATTTCATAACTTTGTAGAGAAATAAGGTGAGCGACCCGACCAGGCTTGAATCCTTTACCTCTCGGTTCTGAGTACAACGTTTTACCGATGGTGTAACCCTGGTGTTAGGGTCTTTGGCTAAATAATCTCACGGTTGGCGCAGAAGGCAACATCAACGAACGAGCACTAATATCATGCAAACGTTATCCGAATCATGATAACCTTGTAACTGTACCACCTGAAGCCAATTTAATGACTGAATGGGCTTTTGCAATCTGCTCTTATCAGCCAGAAATGTAATTTACGTA